TTAGGGCTTTTTAGGTCCCCAATATAGTACGGCACGCTTATAAAAAGGACCCAAAAAGGGACCCTGATTTAGACAACTACCCGTATCTTGTTCCGAATCCTACTCTTTGGGTTTAGGCTTAAGGGCTTTAGGGTTTTGGGCTTTAGGGTTTTGGGCTTTAGGGTTTTGGGGTTTTACGGTTTTAGGGTTTAGGGTTTAGGGTTTTACGGTCTTAGGGTTTAGGGTTTAATGCTTATCGGCAAATTCCATACTAAGGTTTAGTTCATAGCAAGAGCCCCAAAAAGGTAGGTCGTGGTAGTTTGCAAGGTAGGTTATGGTAGCTTTTAAGGTATACCCTAAAGGTTAACCCCGGACCCTAAACCCTAAACCCCTAAACCCTAAACCCCAAACCCCAAACCCTAAACATTAAACCCTAAACCCTAAACTTCCCTAAACCCTAAATCCCAAACCCCAAACCCTAAACCCTAAACCCACCCTGGACTATGTCGCAGGAACAGACGGATCGCTTGGAAGAAGTCTTGTCCAGTCCTCAGGGGATACGGTGAGATCAGACCCTACTGCTTCTGGTTTAGGGTTTAGGGTTTAGGGATCAGACCCTACTGCTTCTTGAGGGTACAGATTTTTTTTTACATATTTACCACATCCTGACCATAAGACTAGGTGCTCTAAAAGGAGTAGGGTCTAACCCTGCTTGAGGGCTTAAGAGTCTAGACTTCTGCGACAGGTTTTAGAGCTTGGGCTGTCTTCTTTCGGGCTTGAGAATTCCGGCGATTCACGTGGAGGCGGGCATAACAAGTGGGAGTATTTGCTTGGTGGTTCATGAGCTAGGTTTCCTGTAGGTACTGCAAATTCAACTAAAACCCTTATGCCCAGGGCTTAAGATGAAGGGCTTGATCTGACATGCTGAGGCTAGATTACACAGCCATGCAGTTTCGATCAGGCTTATTTGGGGTCCCGACTTTACCCCTTTTTGGGGTTCAGGGTAGAGGGTTTCATGGGCCCCTGAACAATACACCGGTCAGGGCCTAGGGTGCAACATGCTGACGCTTTGCCTACTTCGCCGATTAGCCCCCCCGAGAGAGCCGGTTCTCATGTTTCTTGTTTGTTCTAGGTTTTGCATGCTTAGGGTTTAGGGTTTAGGGTTTAGGGTTTAGGGTTTTGCATGCTTACCCTAAGGCTCAAGCCAGCCCAAAAGCCTCATCTAGAATGGTCTTTTGGGCCCAAGAGCCAAACCCTAAACCCTAAACCCTAAACCCCGCCTAGGGCTTAAGATGTGAGGCCCTAGAGTCTTAGGGTTGATGATTTGCCGTGGGGGGGCCCCACATCTGCACTGTCTTGGTTCTTATAAGTTGGCGTTATTCATGACGGTTTAGGGTGTAGGGCTTAGGGCTTAGGGTTTAGGGTTTAGGGAAGTCAAAACCTTTCTTTGTTTGACCCATTGGGTGGACAGGGTTGAGGGTTCGGGTCGGGGGAAACGTTTCGTGATTATAGGGTCATGCGCACTCTGAACTTATCGGGGCAAAACGTAATTTTCAACACCACACACTGCGTTCTAACTGGTCCTACAGGGTACTTGGGGGTGTCATGGTAAACACCCCCAAGCCCCAAGACCGAAACCATACGTACAGGAGCACGGGACTTAGTAATTTGCCCTGGCATATGGAGTCCCTGCACTACAACAACACTACCACGGGACTTAGTAACTGCGATTATTCTGAAGGTAACATTAGGGTTTTAGGGTTTAGGGTTTAGGACTTGTTAGCACCTAGAACCCCAATTTAGGTACTTTTAACTTTACTTTGACACCCGAGGCCTGGACCTTCAGCTTCATAGATCCCTATGGAACCCTTACGGTTTAGGGTTTAGGGTGTAGGGTTTAGGGTTTAGGGTTTAGGGTTAGAAGCCCTTTGAGGAGCCCCTTTAGTAAGCGCGTCAAGCACCGTCTTCCGACGAGGAAACTCCACAGAGGACTAGCAAAACTCGAGGCAACGCTCAAGAAGGACGGGCAATTTAAGGGACTGAACGGTTTCCTTTAAAGGCTTGCTATCAGGGGCTTGGGGGTTTAATATCGAAGCCTAGCTAAATACTTACCAATATTATTGTTAGGGTTCCTCATTATGAATATACTATACCGGAGCTCAAGACTCTGCTCTAACTATTAAGGTGTCTACATTAGGGTTTCAGAAGGACGTCTGGGGTGTCGGCTTCCTTCTGAGGTTCCTTCTTCGGGCGTTCTACATGGGCCTACGCAGTTGGAGCAGGTTGCTTTGGGGTTTAGGGTTTAGGGTTTAGGGTTTTGTGGTGTACATTATGCGAAGATGGAACGAGGAAGCTCAAAGAATACTATTCTGATTACGAAGAGCCCAGTTTCAAACAGCATAGTCTGATTAGTTAAGGGAAGTATAGTGTGAAATATGGGAGGTATAGTATGAAATCCGGGAAGTATGACCCTAAACCCTAAACCCTAAACCCTAAACCCTAAACCCTAAACCCTAAGACTGCCGAAGGACGATGAAGTGGTGAAAAGAGCCCAGGCATACAACAGCGGCCGCCTCGGGGCTCTCTCAGGTCTAAAGGCTTTGGGAGGGACCCTTAATAGGGACCCATGAGTGCTTCATGCAAACGACCGACTGATGTCCGTTGATATAGGAGGGACCCTTAATAGGGACCCTTGTAGGATATTGGGGTTCATATGGAGACTACCTGGCTATATAGGGGGTATATAAGGACTATTAGAATGGTTATTTAAGGTAATGGGAACCCTAAACCCTAATCCCTAATCCCTAATCCCTAAACCCTAAAAATCCTAAACCCTAAACCCTAATCCCTAATCCCTAAAAATCCTAAACCCTAAACCCTAATCCCTAAACCCTAAACCCTAAAAATCCTAAACCCTAAACCCTAAAGGGTCCCTATTCGAGGTCCCTCCTAAAGTCCTTAGATCAGGGGTCGAGGCGCGGGTCCACGGGTTTAGGGTTTTGGGGTTTTGGGGTTTTGGGGTTTAGGGTTTAGGGTTTAGGGTTTAGGGTTTAGGGTTTTAGGGTTTTAGGGTTTAGGGTTCAGGGTTTAATTAGGGTTTTAGGGTTTAGGGTTTTAGGGTTCAGGGGTTGGGGTTTAGGGTTTTAGGTTTTAGGGTTTAGGGTTTAGGGTTTAGGGTTTAGGGTTTAGGGTTTAGGGATGAGGGTTT